TTTCTGAGAAATGTGAATTAAAATAATATTTGATGCTTTGTTCCTATTTTTTTTAACGCTTCGTACTGTTATGTTAATTGTGTCTTCTTCCGATATTAATGAAACTAGTCGTCCTTCTTCGAGCTTCCTTTCTTGTAACCTTCGCAAGTTCTTTATATGAAGCAACCTTTTGAACATGAACTGTTTGAAGGAGATATCGTTTAGTAAACGGACGCGTGATATTGCGACGAAAGAATTTTTTTACATTATATCCCCAGAATATTTTCTCCACATCTCCGCCACATCCCCGCGCCTTTCACGCTCCGGACTTCACAACGGCCCTCGCCGTTCCCTAGTAATAAGCTAAATTTAGAAGAAAATAATGAAAACAATTTTAGTTTTTTATTAAAAGCAGCAGAAAATGAAGATTGTAATTTTTTTATCATTACAATTATAATAATAAATTTTTTTACATTTTTTGTTAAAACATATATCGTTTGAATCGTTAAAAAAATTGCGAGACCTTTTGTATTAATCACGATTCTAGTATTTTATTGGTTATTTATACAACTATAGTAAATCATATTAAATGAATATATTGTGGACCTATTCGGACTTGATCCTGAAAGATAATTTCGGGGGTAGCTAGTACTTGTATATAGATTTTTAAGATTTAATATTTATATTTTTGTATAAATTTAATAAAGTTACTGGCAGTGCCACTTCGTAAAAAAAAAAAAAAAAAAAAAAAATCTTTAGCAGCTGCAAAGAGAACATTTTCCACTTTTGAACGATTATGGAAATGGAATGACCGCGTTAAAAGTAGGTTTATATTTATGGAAAGAATTCAAAAAATATGATAATAATGGAGGTGGTGAAAATGACTAATGATTTATCAAATATAACAAAAATTTAGCTGTTTGTAATAAATATAGTTCTGCGATATATTAAAATTTTTTTTTATATAAATTTTATATAAACTTATATTACACGGTTTATACGGTTAATTAAATCTTAATTCATATCGGACTGATTTATAATACAACTACCCCAAGCTCAATAACAGAAGACTCGAACAGGTTGGGATTTCGACACGGAGAGCTTATTGTATATTGAAGAAGAAAGACTCGACACTTCAAAATTTTACGCTAGGAAAAAATTATTGATCATGCCTTTCTTGAGGAAAATTTCGTAGTATTCAATCAGTGAAGATTTGGGACTTTAAAGGATATTCTGAATCAAAGAGATTAGTTATTTAATATATATAAAGACGGTATCAATCAAATTTTAATAGAATATACAAAATTTCTTTACATTACAAAACAAGAAACTAATAAAATCATTACATAAATATTAGTAAACTATAAATAAAATTTATAAAAAACTAGCAATAAGGACATTTCTTAATTTCTTTAGCGTTATAATCGTAACAAGGGGAACGATTTACATGATTACAATCAGGATATCCAAATTTAACCATAGTTCGGCACATCGTTGTACACCAGGGTGATGAGCAAATCTCTTCACACTTTAGACGAAAAATAAAATAAATCAGAGAACCATTTAAACTTAATAAAACTTAATAACGAGAATACAATATTAAATGATCAAACCTGATGCCCGCATGGTAATTTTTTAGAACACGTCTCCTTACATCTATAATTACCAGGTGATTGTTTTACGTAGCAAAACACTTCTTTTTCGTGTCCACATGGTGGGCGAAACACAACCATTTGTTCACAATTTCCACAAGGATCGTCACATCGTTTGGAACATGAATGGCCACAAGAAGGGAATTTCCGGATGCATTTTTCCTACATGATTTTCAAACAAAAATATTGCTATTAATCAAATATAATCATCAATAATTAATTTTTTTAACAAAAAAAAAAAAACGTTAAAGCTTACCTTACAAGTATTGTGTGGAGATATATGACATTTATTTGGACAAATCTGTATCAAAAATATATATATATAATTATTTCGTGATTGATATTTATCATAATTTGAATACTCACGTGACCACATTCCATAACCTCTTCACATTCCCTCATACAACCACCTTCAGGTGGTATTTCAGCAGACCATGTAACTTCAGTTATCACCACACCACGTGGCCATTCTTCTTTATTAGGGTTAGAATGTTTTTGACAATACAGGTCAATAGATTGACCGCAACGTCCAGATTTTTCAAGTATTCTCAAAACTTCTCGCCAAAGCTCGGATTGCATTTTTAATTGTGATACATTGCCAAAAATATACATTCCATGTTTAGCTCGTGATAAAGCAACGCAAACTATTTCAAAAGTCATAATTATTAAAACCGATAAGCGTCTTTAAAATGAAAAAAGAAGCACATATCTTACCTCTGTTGGACACATTCAAAAAACCTATACTCTGTCGTGGTTCACGGCTTCTTACCAAGGACAAAAGAATTATATCATTTTCCTCTCCTTGAAAGCCATCCACCGAACATACACGAACATCTACAATTTCTGGTGTATTACGAGATTCATCTCTTAATAACTTATCAATGAGTTTCCTTTGACCAGAGTACATACTTAAAATGGTACTATAAAAAAAGAATTGTTATAATTTCAAATCAACAATTTACATATGAATTTAATAAAGACTTACATTTTTTTTGCATTCGTTCCACCTTTCACAAGATAGTTGGTAAATTTGGTACACATCTCTGCCTCAAACTTGTTTTTTTTACTCATCGTATCTTCTTCGTGAACCTCCTCTTCTTGGTGATCAAAGAAAAAGAGATCATTACAAAAACCTGGAACATTAGGATAGTTACATACATTATCGTGATCTGTGAGGACATCTTTATAAATTGGTGTGAGCAATTCTCTGATCTCCGGTCGCATACGGCGTTGTTCAGTGAGTTGACAATATGGCAAGAATTTTGTCAACCGTTCAAACAATGAAACATCCAAATGCTATAAAGTACAAGATTTTTTAGCCACAAGGGCTTATATATACCAAAAATAAATATATATTTTTTATGTTAATTTACATGGTTTTTGGCAAGATCATGCACAGAAGTATTTGGTCGAAGTTGTTGATGGTCGCTATTTTAAGTAAAAAAACCAATAAATATTTTAAAATAATTTATATATTTTAAAATACTAAAATATAATACCCAATAAGAATCAAATGTTCAGTCGCAGGTGTAAGAGCGGTCACAATGTGTGCTTCCAAAGTCTCGGCGGCTTCTTCAATAATCATGATTTTTGGTGCCAAATTAATCAGTAAATCATGATATTTGGCCTAATAAGTTTGAAGATAAAAAAATTTAATTCATAAAAATTAAATGCTTTATTTTAAGAAAAGATTATATTAACCACTTACTGCGGCTGTAGTGGTCATCCCAACAACGCGAGCCCCTTTGAGAATAAACAAATCTTCACGAATCCTTTCGGTTTTTATCTGCTCAGAAAATTTGAGATATTGCTCACAAAGGTGTTTAAGTCGATCAAAAATTTCTTCCAGTCTTACACGACGCCAACGTCTATGCATTTCTACACGGACTTCTTGAGGTATAGACCATAAATCTTCAGCGGAAGAATATTCACGTATCATATCTTCACTAACGTATACATCCGACTTTATACATTTTTCATTCCTTAATTCTACAAAGTCACCGCTTGTAAGCTGACCACCATCAATTCCCTGAAATTCTGCTTCGACAACATGGATGTACTCTTCATCAAATTCTTCTTCTTCTTCCACTTGATCCCCGTAATCTTCCGACAAGAATTGGAAAAACTGATAATCAAGTTCATTTTGCTTCGAAGCTGCAGCAGAGATTGAGGCTTCTAGCCATTCTTGTATATAGTCTCTATCGCTGTCATCGTTACCGGCTGAACTACTTGAATACCAATCATCTTGTTTAAGACTCGAAATTTGCTCATCTGTGAGATATCCCTGTTCTTTGATAAAATCCAATTCAAGACATGGCTTCCCTATCTCTTTACATAAATCTTTCATTTCATCCTCAATCTTCTTTCTTTTAACAAAGAAAAGATTAAGATTCCGATTTCTAAAATTTGTATTATTAGACGATTTCATATCGCTTCGTATATTAAACAATGTACGCGGTTTGATTAGAGTTGAAGAAGATCTTGAACCTAGTCTAATAATATTTTCCTCATAAAGTTGAATGCCTAAAGTAATTTAAAGTTAAGTAATGAATGCTGAACGAAAAAATAATTTTTTTGTAATGCAAAAAACACAAACCTTCAAGGAATTGATCTAACGCATGATTTGTTTGACACGCAACAACAATAGTACCTGGAAGATTCTCTAGTAAAATTCTAACTGCAGTAAGACCCACATAAGTTTTTCCTGTACCTGGTGGTCCTTGAACTAAAGCTAATCGACATGTAAGCATCCTCTTTAATGCTTCGTATTGTGAAATATGTAATTCAGTTTTCATTTCTTCTATCGTTGGCCAATTATCCCATTTTTCACGAACATTAAGCTAACAAACAATATATTATATAGAGAGATATATAAGATGTATATAATTCAACAATAATAATATCAAATAAAAAAATACCCTAGATGTGCCAATACAATTTTCAAGGTTTTGAAACGCTTCTGTTTTACCAAGCTCATAGATGGGAATTCTAGCATTCAAATATTTTGGAATTTCGATTTCTAATTTTCGTTCAACAATATGTTCCTTAAATGGTAACGTTTCAGGATCCAATTCCTGAAGGATATTTAAGACGTGCCTATAAGCTAAATAAAATTCAGCCAATATGTGAACTTTGAAAGAAGGTGTCTAACTACTATAACAAAACATTTTATAAATACCTTCGAAATACGATGTAGTTGATTCAACCTAAGTGATAAATAATAAATTATTATTATGAAAGAAATCATTAATTATAAAAAAATTTATTTATTAATAAATTACCATAATATATCCTTCTGGCAATTCAAAATCTGTATCTTCAAGCCGAAAAAGCACATCAATTTGTAAATCAAAACTCTTCCCGAGTAGCTCAAGAGGTCGGCTTACAACTGTTCCAAACTTCATAGTATCAAAATTGTCTTTTGAAAAGACGACTAATGTTCCGGGAAGTAAACGCTTGCTTGTGGACCTGAAATATAAAACTTTGGTTATAGAATTATGTATTCAAATGAATACCGAGTATTAGGATCTAAAATAAATTACCAATTAACACGCTCAAAATCTTTGGTTCTGAAGCTGATTCGATGTACAACGCCAATTTTTGCGAATGTTACACCCACAAGATTTACCTTAACATATACTCGTAAATCTCGATTATTTTCTTCAGGTTTTGTTCGAAAAAACTGTATACCTTCACGAAGAGGTCTTAGACAGTCTTCTCTTAGTAATTTATAATGAGTTTCTAGATACTCGTCCATTGATTCGTATGGTTTATCAATTCGATTTATTGGAATATCTTCCGGTTGTGGTGCTAGAATTTCCTTCTCAGTTGGAATAATCGGTATCGCACGAAAACCTTTTTTTTCCGGCTTTACGATTTCAAAGAGGTTCGGTAATATAGGACTTAACTTATCACGGTTATCACGGTTATCACGGTTATTTTTACCACCTCCTCTCTTTTGGTTTCTGTTACCCTTGTTACGATCATTTTGATTTTTAGATGTACTAACGTTAGGACGACCAGAAGACTGGTCTGATATTCTTTGTCTTGGATTAGGTTCTTTATTATTTTGTCGTCTACGGCTCATACTTCCAGTTGAAAAAATTTTCTGTTTTTTGTAAGTTGAAAATGGGTATTTGGACTAGCTCATATTGTTTAAAAATTCGGAAAAACTCAGATTATCGCAAAAACATGTTAACCAATAAAATCAAATAGCAACATTTGCTTTTTTTACATAAGAAACTGGCGGCTTAATAGCACATGATCAGAGAAAGTGTGATTGCGTAACTGTGATGCAATTATGATCGTCGGTGTGATTGATTTTAGTAGATTTTTTTTTCAAGTTTTTAGTTTTTGTAAAGATAAGTTGTATATTATGTAATTGTCCTGAAGGAACTATATATTTCTATGCATTGATTAAATTTAGGTCATGTGAGCGTTTCTCTGTCCGCCACGTGATTTTCGTCCAATAATTCGCTTAGGACTTATGAAATAAATGAAATAGAGAAATTTTTTGAATTGATAAATCAAATAATGAATGGAATGTTTATAATAATCAAATTTTCAAATTTTGTGTTGAAGGGATTAGTGAGGGTTTATTTCAGGAGAAATCGTTGAGGGCTTACTTTAGAAGCATTTTTTAGCCTCTGATATTTTATAATGATATCTTTATCTATCATGAAGGCTGAATAATCATGATAGGATATATTGATATTTTCCAAATAGGATATCTGCTGAGTGACATAGTTTTGACCAGGTGAAAATATGTTTTCATCTAAAATAATAGACACTTTGGGTAGTATTAAACCTTGGGTTTATGAATAGTAAGAGCAAAAGAATTTTATATAGAAAATTAGATATAATAAGAATTGCTTTTATTATTTGAAAGTAATGAGTTTATTTAAGATTTATTAATCCTTTAATGGAGAATGTAACTCAGACAGATTCTTCTGCAAAATTTACATCAGTAATTATTCCTATAGTATTATTATATACAGTAGCTACCAAAAGAAACGCAAGTGTAATTGGTTACCTTTGAACGACCATAACTCATCAATCACAAATGCTAGAAACATGATCTTGTACTTGTTTTAAAGCTCAAATCTTGAAGGATATCCTGGCAAATTTTTTTTTTGAAGTGCAACAGTTTTGCATAATCTTTATTGAATTTATATAATACTAAATACATATAATAAAATACAAAATACAAAAATATCTATAAATTAATTTTTAAATAAACTACTTTATCAATACTAACCTTGCACTTTACTGAACTAAACTATAAATAGAAGAGAAAAGAAAAGAAAATTTAATAAGATTAAACTATTATACAGTTATCAACCGTTCGAAAGGGAGGGTGTGATTACTACCGTTCTAAAAATTTGACCTGTAGGAGTCATAGGCGGTAGCCGCTATAAAGGATGTGAGATTTTAAGTTGAGAAAAGAGAAGAAGAGTGTGGAAAACCTGATGTGATCTACAGAACAGTATAGTCTTCTTCAATATTATTTATAATTTTCCATTCATTAAGAGCAGTGTTTCTATATTTCCATATCTTGTAACAAGATGTAAAAATATCATGATATAGGGAGAATAGGAGACCATGTGATAAATCTTTTGTAGATATACAAGCAGTAATCTTATCAGACAGAGATAAGGATATTATTTCTTTAATTAAATTGAGGATCAAAAAATCGGCTGTGTCAAAGGCAGGCAGTGTTATCATGAGATATTGATAGAACACTGATGAAACACTAATAGGACAGATAGGATATTGTGAAACAGGTTGGGACATATAGTTAAGACATATAGCTAGGACAATAAATCTCTAGAACATCAAAAATGTACATCACTAGGTGCAGGTATCCAAATATTATCTGATGATATTTCTTGTAGTAGTGAACCATCTTGTAAAATATTCATTTTCTTGAGATGGTTAATGAATGTTGTTTTGTGTATATCGATAGTATCTTAGAGGATTAGAATATTTTTTAAACACAGTCACAGGTATTCAAAGTCTTCAATATGTAAGTGATAATGAAAGCATTATGTTGAAGTATAAGTATCAGGAATACGAGTATGTATTATTTCTAAAGTAGAAAACATTTGAAGCAACATCTTGATTTTAAATTTCTTTTTGAGGTATCCTATAAAGGACGTTTTATGAGCAGATTCTTTATCATTGAGAATCTTGAAAAGAAGAAACTAATCAATAGGTTTGTTACGATATGGATTTAGATATGATAAAGATAACAAGGATTCAGCCTAAACAGCTTATTTTTTATTTTTAATAAAAAGATGATGAAGAGCTATAATCGGAGTTAAGTAGTGGCAGAGATAATAGCCTAGGCCTAAATGATCATTATTGATGAACAAGTTGTGAAGGGATTTTAACCAGTATAATTTCAGAACGAACGGAAACAGAATTATTCCCAAGTGCCTATGTCTTCCCACTAATAAAAGGACTTGAAAATAAATGCTCTGTAATTGGTTTAGACTTTAACTCCAATTGATTTTGAAGAAGTTTTGGATGACGCGGAAGATGAAGAACAAAATTTGTTCAATCTAAATGAAAAAATTAATATTTTGAAAATTGAGCTCAAAGAACAGCAAAAATTATTAACTGTAGCCGAATATAATAAGAAACGAGCGATATTAGAATATTTGACAAAATTAGATGATAATGGAAAAGGAAAATAAAGGCCAGTATAAAAGCTGCGCAATTGGTTTTTATTGAAAGTGGACTATATAAAGCAAGATCTATTAGATATTGGGCAAATTATTGGCTCAAATATAATCGTCTTCTAGTAAGTCATTAAGGTAAATATAAAAAACAATACGATTAATAGATAATGAGAATATAGCAGAAGAGTGTCATACCTGAATTTGTGCTCAAGGTGGAACAATTACACCACTAAAATTTAAAGAATTTATTGAAAATAAATTACTTGTTAATTTTGGAATAATAAAAAAAAACAATTAATATGAAAACTGCAATACGTTGGTTAAATATACTTGGTTATTTTTTTCAATCTCAAAAACAAGGTAAGATATTTATTAATTTATATAATAAAATAATTAAATATTATGTACTTATCTTAATAATATAATAATAGGCACATATTATGATGATTATGAACGTCCAGATGTTGTAAAATATCATCAAATATTTTTGGATAAAATTTATAGTTATGAAAAATATATGGCAAAATACGAAGGTGAAAATATGGAATGAAAACCTCTAATATTAAAACCTAATAATAAGGAAATAATACTTGTAACACATGATGAATGTATATTTTACTCAAATGATGGAAAATGAGGAGTATGGGCTAAGTCTGAAAAATTATCATTGCGTAAGAAAGGAAATGGACATTCAATAATGGTTAATGAATTTTTATCAGAAGAATGTGGTCGACTTAAACTAAATGCACAACAACATCAAAAAAACCCTTTCATACCTAAAGAAACACGTGCTTATCTTCAACCGGATAAAGACAGAGAAGGTTTTTAGACAAGTGAATATTTAATAGAACAAGTAAAGATAAAGGCCATTTCCATTTTTAAAACACTTTTTCCTAATTGTGTTGCACTATTTGCGTTTGATAATAGTTCAAACCATGCAGTATTTAAATCTGATGCTCTTGTAGCTAGTAGAATGAACTTAAAACCTGAAGGCAAACAACCGAAAATGAGAGATACAGTCTTTAGATCAAATAATTAGCATCAATCAATGATAAATAAAAATGGTGAATCAAAAGGAATGAAACGGGTTTTAATTAAATATAGATTGTAGAAAAATGGATTAGATGCAGACTGTCAATTATGTAAAGACAAAATAGATGATATAACTCAGATAGATTGTTGTGCATGACAGATTATTTCTTTATAACCTGACTTTTTATCACAAAAAAGTGCATTAGAAGAAGTAATATTAGAAGCTGGCCATAAATGTATCTTTTACCCAAAGTTCCACTATGAGTTAAATTTTATTGAACGATACTGGAAGGCAGCAAAACGATATACAAGGGAAAACTGTAATTACTCATGGTTAAGTCTGCAACGTACTGTTCCTGCAGCTTTAGAGTCTGTTAGTATAATTATAATAAGAAAGTTTGCAAGAAAAGCATGGAGGTATATGGATTTATATAAAAAAGGAATCACTGGTAAGTTGGCAGAGTATGCCGCCAAAAAGTACAAATCTCATCATTGTATTCCTGATTATGTATTAATAGAGTTAAATCAATAAAATAAATCAATAAAGCGCGTTTTGATTTACAAAGTCACGTGAAGTAATATAAAATCACGTGATTATCGCTATTTTGAAATTTTGGACTGTGTCGATTATAGGTGACAACCATCATAGTTATTCCTAGAATCATTTATAAGACTAAATTAACTTTCCTACTATCTACATTCTGCAATATGATGATGGTTTCATTCAAAGCATTCTTCAAGAATAAACTGTAATTAACTAAGTCCTTACTAGCACTAATTATTCATTCCACCTTTAGATACAATTTAGCTCACCTTTACGATAAATAAATGCTAACCAAATCCTCAGATTTACTAAAGATGATAAATGATATTGCTTTACTAGAAAATACTGCTAGATTGAGAATCATGCAACTCCAACTCTTAGAATGATTACACTTATTACCAATTACCAATTAGCCATATGATAATCCTTCTCAATTTAAAGACTGGTGATCAGTTTTCCTCTCAGCTGCCAAATTAGATAGTTTTACTTTCAGTAAATGTTTAGACGAACATTTCAAATACTCTCAAATCATGGGTAGCTCTATACCCATTTCATCTATTCTATCTAATAATATATATAGGAAGTCTATCAAGAATATTCAGATCCTTTCAATAATGTTTGTAAATCAAATTATCGCAATAGATAGATGTTACCTCTTTACCTCATTTGATATCAACTGGTTTTATAATACAAATATATCACATGCATCTTGGTTTCAAAAATTAGAATCCCAACTTCTGCCTAACACCTCCTCTAGAAAAATGATGATAACTTGTTCACCACACTCGTCTATTTGTAACTGACCTACTACTATCATCCATCCAAATA